CTATAAGACACAGCGAGGCCACTAGCAATACAATAAAAATAATGAATGCGGTGCTCATGCTACAGGTCCAGCTCCCTTGCTGATACTGAATGTCGGCTCTGGAGGTGTGGGCAGAGGGCGTCTGGAAGGCGTACGCTGCGAACTCCTGTGAAACTGAAAGCCGGCATCCAACGGTGAATAGTACCTCGGCGGGAGATCCAGCTCTCGCATGGAGCTGATGTCAATCACCCGGTCGTCCAGGTACGCATTGTGCTCATCGAGCGGCACGATACGCACTGGCTGTGGCAGAGTGCGCCGTGGCGCAACCTCGGCCGAGTCGCCCGAAGTGTTCGCGTAGCCTGAATTTGCAGTGATTCGGGTTACAGCCGCAGAGTGAGCGAAGTCGATCGAGCTCTCGCCTAGCTCTGCGCTTGGTGTCTCCATAAACGGCTCATCCTGGTCCACAGCATCTCGCTCGACCAGCGTCTGCAACGAAAACTTGCGATGTTCTTTCTGCTTCGAGCCTTGTTTAAACACGGCATGTCCCTTGCGCAGCGCACGCCGCGCTTGGTACCGCATGAAGAGGAATGCGCCGAGCAGGCTGACGACGATGCTACCCGCGCTTGAAACGGCCGCGACCCATGGTTTGATTCGGAGCGTCTCCGACCTATACAAGCTCATTTAGTCGCCATCAATAGAGAAGGAAACGGAAGAACGTGCCCGTTCGAGTCAAGACATGCGGTACTCGCCCCGGATCCGCTATGCAATGGACCCTGTGCCCAAAGCATGCCCGACGAATCGGTAAGAGAGATGAAAAAAGAGCTTCCCCACGACTAAGTGTCACATTCAGGAGTTAGAGTGGTGGAGAATGCAAGGAGGAAGGAGACAGCTGACTAGGGATACTGTCCAGTTCATGGTATTCATAGTGTCCGAGGCGATGATGTACGGCGGCCGAAGAGTGGGTGCAACCTATAATGCAACGATCAGCTTCGTGTCCCACTAAAGCTCTGCATGGTCACGTACAGTGAACGTGTATGGTGGTGTTCCATTCGTCGGTTTGACAGAAATATCGGTGCACTGACATATAATTAACCCCTGGACAGCATTGAACATCGCTACATACCTGATCTATCCAGCCATACTGGCTGAAACCGCCCGTCGATGTAGATGCTGTCACTCCGAGGACTTGGTTAGGGCGTGGGTACGTCACATTGCTGCATGTCGGCGGATCATTGACTGTCGTATTCGGATACACAGTATAGATATCTTGACAACCTCCCGTGTTGTTGGCGGAGTCAAACTGTAGTCAGATGTCAAGCGTTGGTCAACGTATTCTAGGGGCACGCACCATGCAGATTTGATATTGCGTGTCGGGAATCCACGGTACCGGCCAATCCTGCTCGGTCTTGTGAAGATCTTCCATTTTTATACAGCGTTTTAAAGAGAATACTGACGAAGCTCAGGCCACTCCCAGCGGGAACGACAAAAGGAACGACGAACGCGCTATAATTCCAGTGTCAGCAAGGGAACGCAAAAATGCGAGAATTATGCTCACGATGTAAACACATGAAGGTAGTATGGGGCCATAGGGTTTGGCCTCAAAGAGTTGTCAGGCCGATTTGACCGTTTCTACGCGGGAAATCACCTACCCCAGGGCTGATCCCCTTTCCCATGTAATGTGAAGCGTCTCGCATTGCGCTATTTTGAACATTCTTGTTAGCACCAAAAATGTCGCGAGTATGACGGCCTACTCGCCTGTAGCAGGCACCGGAGGTGACTGTCCCTGAGGCGTCCAGTTGAACGAGAAACTCTAGATTGTAAAATTCGTGAGGCCATGCACAGCAGATAACATAGTGAATGCGCACTAGGGGTAGTTCAGGGGTGTCCTTTGCGCCCGTAGAGGCTGCTAGGCATGCACAGCATACCAAAAAAGTCACAAACTGACACACGGCCGCTTGACGCTGTCCAGAGCGCATCCTCGTAGAGATACCGAGTCGAAGGGATTTGAAAGACAATATACGGCAGGTGGCTAGAACCGTTCAGTCTAGGACAGTCTAGGCGACAGCCAGCTGTACGAGAGGGCTACACTGAGCAATGCCAGGACTTTTAGTACTTAGGCAGAAACCCCACTATCACTAGGTGATCATCTGCCAGTGGTTGGCATGTGGTCTCTGATATTATATTCTCGTCAAGATATGATCCAGGGACGATATAAAAGAGACATGTGTCTGGAAAGTGACTGGGGAAGCGCAGGTGGCTAAAATGGGTGACAATTCGCTGGCAGCACGAGTTATGAAGTTGTTGAATTCGCTGGAGTTAAATATCGTAAGTGGATGAGAAACGCAACGAGGAAGTGATAGTTGACACCGTCGAAGGAAGAGCGGCATCATGCATAGCAGCAAAATAAGTGCTTGAGAGCAATCTGGAGTTCTCTGCCAGCCAGGATGAAGGCAGAGGCAACACAGCACCCGGGCTGCAGCCGTTACTGCCAGCATCGCCTCGTGGGAATATGATGCGCTAATCACCTCCCTGTTTTGGGAGCGAGGCGCGCATTATAGCGCCGATGCGCCGCACAGACCACACTTCTTCCCCTTCTCCAGTTTGACTATGACGTTAATTCCCGGTGGTCGTTAGGTCGAGCGATCTGTAAGTATTCGCACTTATTGGTACATCTATGATGTAGCCCTCGCGATGCATCTTCAGTGAAATCTTTACGTCGCAAAGATCGGAGGAAATCAAAGCGTTCGGGGTCGATGGCGGTCATTAACGCTGTGACTATCATGATAATATATCATCATTCCTTGTTTATTTCTAACAAATCGCACAGCAGGGCCATAGGGCCGCAACGCCTAGCTGCGAGGGATATCGTTCTCATAGGCAAAGACAGTCGCCACATTAATTTACAGTTGATGCAACTCTGTTGGTGATACCATATGCGTGGTACCACGTGTTTGACTTATTCCCTATCTCCATCGTTAAGTGCCTGTACTGGCGGTGTGGGTAGCGGGCGCACTTTGCGCATACTTCGCGGGCTCGCACCGAACGAGAAGCTGCTGTCTAGCGGCGACTTGTACCTCGGCGGGAGGTCTAGCTCCTGCGCGGGGCCGATGTTGATCACCTGGCTGTCTGGGTACGCACCGTACTGGTCTGCTGGCGCAATGCGCATGCGGTGCGAGAGGCTGCGCCGTGGTGCGACCTCGACCGAGTCGCTCGAGACGTGTACGCCCTCCGCCTTTGCAGCGACACGGGTTGTCGTGTCCGACGCAATCTGGTTCTTCGACGTGGTTATATATCCGACAGACTCGACCGTGCTTCCACCTAGCTCTGAACCTAATACCACCACGGATGGTTCATTCTGGTCAAGTACACCCCTCCCGAGTGGCCCCTGCGGCAAAGGCTCGGAATGTTCTTTGCCTGTCGATTGCTCTTCGCGCAGAGCCTGTCCCTTACACTGCGCACGTCGTGCCTGGCACCGCATGAAGAAGAACGCGCCAAGGAGGCCGACAAGGATCCCGAGGAGGATGCTGCCTACGCTCGATGCTGCAGCAACCCACGGCTTGATGTCAAGCGTTTCTGACCTGTTAAGCTCTCGATCAGTCGTTGTCGAGAGCGACATAAGTAGAGGGACTTGCCCGTCTGTGTCAAGGCAAGCAGTGCTCGTTCCTAACCCGCTGTGCAGTGGACCTTGGGCCCAGAGCATGCCTGACGAATCAGTCAAGGAGATGAAGAACGAGCTTCCCCATGACTAGATACGCTCAGACGTCAGAATGAAGGAGAGTGCGAAGAGAACAGAAGCAGCTGACTAGGGATACCGTCCAGTTTATGGGATCCATGGTGTCTGAAGTGATGACGTACGGCGGTCGGAGTGTAGGCGCAATCTTGAAAGAAGAGTTCAACGTTGTATTCGACTCAGACGTCGCGACAATACATACAGTGAGCGTGTATGGCGGTGTCCCATTTATCGGTTGGACAGAAATATCGGTACACTAACATAATATTAGTCCTTATAGAGCACTGAAAATAGCCGCATACCTGGTCTATCCAGCCGAATTGGCTGAAACCACCTGGTGAAGTAGATGCTGTCACCCCTAAGACTTGGTTAGGGTGAGGGTACGACAAGTTCCTGCACGCTGGTGGATCGTTGACAGTCGAGTTTGCAGCAGGGTACACAGTGTAGATATCTTGACAGCCGCCTGTGTTGTTGGCGGAATCAAACTATAGCTGGAAGTCAAACACCGTCACATGTTATCGTACGGAGACGCACCATGCAGACTTGATACTGCGTGCCTGGTATAAAGGGTACCGGCCAGTCCTACTTGATTTTGTGAGAATCTCGTTTCTCCAGATAGCATTCCATGAGAGGAGAACTGACGTAGGTCAGGCCGCTTTCGGCTGGGATGACAAAAGGCACGATGAATGTTCTGTGAAGTCAAGCTGAGCGAGACACAGTTTTGTGCGTCCTAGACTTACGATGTGAACACATGAAGAAAATATGGAGCAACGGGGTTTGGGCTAGGAGCGGATTTAGGTCGGTCTGAGCACTAGTGCGAGAGGTGACGTACCCCGGCTCTGATCCCTGTCTTCTCCATGTAATATGCAGTGTGTCGCATTGCACTAAATTATGCAGCAGCTCTCGTCATCGCAAGCATCTCAAGCATGACGGACCGCTCACCCGTAGTAGGTATTGGAGGCGACTGTCCTGGGGGTGTCCAACTAAACGTGAAGCTCTACACGTCAAGGGTAGTGAGTTTGTTTGTAATGTCTGGCGTAAAATATGCACACCTGAGGAAGATAAGGAGTGTCCTTAGCCGTGGTGGTGGTTGCCAGGCATGTGCAGCATATCAGAGAGATTAAGAAACAGGTAGACTTGTATGAAGCGGCATAATAACGCGATCCAGAGCGCATTCTCGTGAGAATATCAATCCAAAGAGACACTTAAGCAGTAGAGTATAGCCAAGTGTCAAGTTGGGGAGTAAAAAGGAGCCAGTATAGGACAACGCCAATGACGGCCAGCTGTACAAGAAGGTTGTGGTGGGCTGTCCAAGGACTTTCGGGATGATGATGGGATCTCACCAATGATGATTTATCATCTGTTCATGATATCGTCTCAAATATCCCCGTATCTTTACGAGATGCCATCTAAACAAAGCACCGCTGTTAGAAACATCCTGCGGGTCACCGCGCTACTGTAGAACGAGCAATAATGCACTGATATTCTGCGATGGGCACATTCAGTCATGACCTCGGAGAGCAATACGATATTTGAGCAAGTCATTCGGCACAAAGCATACGAGTGTGCTTTTGGAGGGCCAAATGGGAACAGTCGACTGGGCAGAGACTCGGCGGAGGCAGCCAGCGACGAGCCCCGTCCGTAGTTGCCCGTTCCCGGCACGTGGGGTTATGATGCGTTTTATGCTTGTTTTAGAAAGGGACGCTCTTCGTGGCGTTGGTGCGCCGCTCGTAGACGCGCTCCCTCTCTCTCTCAATCTCTGGCTCTCTTTCAGGCCACAACGTCCACCATGCACAATACCCTCTGGTTGTCCTTTGAACTGCCAAATTTGGCTTTTTAGGAACTATTCAGCTACTTATGAGCTGAAAATTCGCCCATCAGCTTGAAGGCGAACGGTATAGCCTCTGCCAAACATGCAATGCAATGCCGAAATGATTCTGCCACGGTTACAAGTGCTCCATCGAGGTGAATGTTTCACACACTATTCATCGTAATTGGGAGTGTGTGCTTTCTGGTAGGAAGTGCGAAATGTTTACTCTGGGGTGGCCGCTTATCTCACGGCGATATATCGCTGGAACTATCTGAAACGTTCAGAGACCCTCACAGTTCTGTCTGCCGCCGGCTTCTTGCGAGCACCCGCCGCTCGGCGCAAGGCAATCACTGCATCCCTTGCGGAAGCAAGGTAAATTGCCTCCGTGAGGTAAGTTCTCATGCACGTGGTTATCTTGGGAGCTTGCAGATTGACAGTAAAACTGGAACGAAGCAGTATGTGCTCTAGCGCGCCTTGTCATGTTCTAGCTCGCCAGAAGGATACTGAAGGAGATCTCCGCGAAAACGCGACGTCACCGGTGAGCTGACGACTTCTATCGTAGTCAGTGCCAAATCCACAGCCAGCTTTCTTCACTGCTCATAATGTGCATGGCCGCACCCGGCAGCGTTGCTCATCATCTAAGACAATCTGTCCAAGCACTGGGCGTTACTATGATTCAGGAGCAGCAGGCGCCGTCAGGCATCTGCGCACGACTGATGGTCCACTGGAACGCCAAGCTTCCGTGTGCTGGTGGCACTAATACGTCGACTGAGACAGTCATAAGGTAGGTACAATGATTCAACTCTGGCTGTCTCAGAAGTGCCGCGTGTGTCCGCACTGGCGCTGCCTCAGCCTGGGCTAGGATGGCTCGCCTGGTCGTTGCTAAGTATCTTAGACCATGACACTCGCGTGGGAAGTACGCCCTTCCCAGCATCCACTAATCTGGTATTCCTAGTACTTACGACCCTCATTCGCGATAATTATACACACCCACGAGGTATTCTACGCCCCACCTGGGTTCACGCTCCCGACCACATTCCTGAACTCGCTCGCGAAGACATCTTTCCTTATGCAGTTCGTGCATTTCGCGTCTGTCTTTTGAGCAGTGGTTAACGCCTGTGCGAGCCAGGATCTGCGCCACAATCGTCGCCCCGACGCCGCTCCTCGTCGCAAACTCGGTTATCTTGGGGGAAGCCATCATACGGCTGGGGCAGCAGTACAGTCGGCTGGGTGCCACAATATGTACGAACCAAATCGCAGCGTTTTTGCAGATCTTGCGATGCTTACGCGATGCATTCTCAGATACCGTCGTGTTCATTGCCTGCGTACGTGTTCTGTGTTCCGCTCTAGAAGTGCGCCCATGGATCTCACTGGCCTTCAGGATATTGTCGCGCTCGTCATCCAAGCCATCGGAGGCAGTATCGCCTTAGACGAAGACATGAGCGGCGAGAACCTTACTTCTGTACGTCCCAGTGGCGGTCTCACTTCTCATTTCTGATGAACGCCGTTTCCAGGGCGGATACATTATGCTTGGTGGAATCGTCCTCCAGCTTGGTACGCCTTAACCCAGCCCTCCCTGAAACACCCCTCCTCAGCAGCGACATTGCAGTTGCCACCAGCGCGTTCATGCTCCTAGCGGCTGAGTTCGTCGTGCGCTATCTGCGCAACCGCCCCGTACGCGCACGTGCCTCACCATTTGCTGCGCATAAACTTGAGCAGTCCATGCGGTTCATGCTCCTCGTTCTTGCACTGAGTAGCGTCTCAATCTTTGCTCGGTACGTTTTCTCCCATGTCCATGCATAAACGTGAAAGCTCAGGAGTGACGCAACATGAACAGGTCGGTCTATCGCGTGATCGAGCTCTCGGACGGCTGGGACGAGCGGATCATCTCCACGCAGCGGTACTTCGGTAGGTGTACAGCGTCATCCTTCCTATCTCGTTAATCAATAGTGCCGCTGCAGACTGGCTGAACGGCGGAATGGTTACGCTCGCGACGTTCACGGTCGACATAGTTTATTGAACGGCTGTGTCTCGGCTGTCGGACTCAGCACGGGATGATTTGATTTACTATGTGCGCATGAGCCGCGCGTGGGAATTCGTACTACGGCGGCAGTCTCATTGTCTTGATGCGACACTACTTGTCTCAGTTCTGTAGCAGTGGTGTGCGAGACAGTGAGAGACAGGGGCTTGGAAAACCCACGGGAATTACGATTATGGCACTAGGTGGTAGGGGCGTGGGTAGACACAACCAAACCCGCCAGATACCCGCCACTAGTTTTATTTCATGGATTTATTATCGCAAACGTAACTTATGCACGATATTCAAACGGCGCAGATTAATCGTACTTCCGTTTAGTTGTAAATAAACGACATAAATTTTACAATAATTTTGAGTCTGGTAACATTTCCCTTGACCTAGTACCCGGCGCTCCGGCTGGAACCATTCGCTTGGGGCTAGTATTCAGCCTGAGGAGCTTGTATCTCGGCCATCCTTTCACTTGAAGGCGACTTCTTAGGCTCCAATACATTGCATAAGCTTGCAGATAGCATATATCACACTTTTCAGCTGTAGTCTTGCTTAGCACATGCTCCTCAACATCCTGCTATCAGGTTTCCTCCTGGCTAAACAACTCTACTGATGGCGACTACCGGCGGTACGTAAACTGATGCCATCAAATTACTGGGGACGCCACAAAGGCACCTCGAGCGCAATTTACGTGCCTAGTACGTCGTGTCTGCTGGGATTGCAGTCTCGGTCTCAATCACTCGACTATAATATCGGCAAAGCGGTGAGCAGAATATCGCAGGTGCGCTCTGCAGCCTGGCTTCAATCAGAGTTTGGGTCCGGTGGTAGATGGGAGCGTCGTGAAAGCATCAGGAAACAGGACTTGGGTCCATAGTGCTCCAAAATGCTCCTGTATCACTCTGTAGCATTGTGGACCTAAGTCTTTTCCTGATGAGGAGAGCATAGGCTGCTTGGATAGCTGTACTGTGTGAATGCAAACGATGTGCACGCATGGTGGCAGACACCGCTATTCCTCCGCAGAGGAAACTACATCAGGAAAAAATGACTTGGTTACGTAGTGCCACTGAGCACTTGTGGCAGTGGTGGTACTCAGCGCATGGTCCCCCTTTACGTAGCACAGGGTCTCATAGCCTTCCCTTCGTAGCAGCCTGGTAGAAAGTGGCTTGTCCGGAGGCAATTTTGTAGCAGGCCACTTCCTCGGGAGCAACCTCATAGCATGCTACTTGCTCACTGGGTGCAGGCTCGTAGGACAACTGTAGCAAGGCAACCAAATTGATATTTTGCATTCTATCACTCATCCAGTGTGCAGAATGTGAATGCGAACTCGATTAACTATGTATAAAGTAAGATACAATTGTCTGAGGTGGTCTACTGCTACTCCGGCTCCAAATTAGACACCTGTGCGGCAACCCGCGTCTTCAGATTCCTGTTCGCTATCCGTGTCCCAAGTACGTCCTTTAAGCTGCTGCCGCATCCGATCCTCTGCAGCAGCGGAGATCTTCACAGGTATCTGCTCAGTTTGGGGCTTTATGTCAGTGCCGGCTCTGACAGAACGGCATTGAGTGATGTAAGTACCGGCAGATCAGGACAGCAATTACTCATAGAACGTGTTTGAATAGCTTTTCGCGAACCTTTGTTGATGCAACTGTGTTCAGGTTTGCCCACTTCCCAATGAATTCAAGGTGTATTCTGTACAACCCATGCATCTCCAAAGTATCAGAGGCATACTTGTCTTCTGTGAACTGGAGACTGGCATTGAACTTGCCCATCTGCCATGTGTCCAGCAAATATGCGATCTCATCAATTGCCGGTCAGCTCCAGTCGCACATAACCACTGGATTAGCACTCACAATGGTGAATAGAAGTGCAATAGTTGGAATAGGGAGTGGATTCAGGAGATCTTGATGCCGTGAACCCAGGTGCTTTGCGGTCTTGAAAAGCTCTGCACGAAGAGCAACTACGAGCAGAGTATGTTCGCTGTAGCCAGTCTCTGCCTCCAGATCCTATGAGTAGTTAAACTTAGTTACAGCCTCTGTTCAGGGCTGGAGAGCGCTATGGCAGCTTTGCGCGGCGCTCTAGAACACATACCATGTCCCCTAATCAATCTAGCCATCACTCAAGGTCTGAACGCTCGCTGTCTCACACCACCAGCTCTCAGGGTGATATTAGGTGCAAAACGGCACCCTTGTCTGGGGACGCACAGCAGGCCAGTATTTCGCTCTTTAGTACTACAGAGAAAGCTGAACATTCTTTCATGTATAGCTTTCTCGAGGGCGTAGCCACAGGGTTCGCGACTCTCAGCCACCACCAGTTTGTCATTGACCGACAGACAGCCCTACACGCTCTACAGATCAGTTCCGCAAGTGTAGACGAAAGCGCACACGTTCACCTGAGCCGGTAGCCTACGATTCCATCATGTACACACATGGACAAATGCCAACAGGCAGGCCAAAGTACCCTGACTACAGCAAGGCGACATCAGCTCTCATTCATCAAGCCGCCGATGTGTACAAACTGAAGTTGCTAACAATTAATGCCTTTCCACCAACGGAAGTCGCAATGCAATTTGCCAGTGAGGTATGGCATGCGGTATGCCGGACAAACAAAAAGAACTTCGCCCCAGAGGACTCGGCTCGAGTGCTTGCCCTGGTACGCTGCTTACTCCGATGTCTTTCTGCTTGCCCTTCAAGTTAATGCAATGTCTAGATCATCAGGCAAGGTCCCACGTTTCGTGGTCACCTTTGTGATCACGTCCGTGAGAGCTTTATGAGCGCCTTTAGATTTGTAGATCCAACGAACGCAACGGCACAGGCAGCCAATGTAAAGCTGTGTGAGTTCCTTCGCAACTCAACTGCTGAGGGCTCACTGCCCCGGTACTGTTACAAGGTATGTACAACTGTTATTGTCTGAGAGCAAAAGGGCTGGCGAAATACTATGGGCAGGAGAGGCACCACAGGTTGGAGAGGCACTGCGGGCTGAAAAAGCATTGTTGGCTACAGTTGTAACATGAAAATGCAGAAATTACGCACATGTTTGTGAGCGAGATGTAGCAGGTGGTTCGACATTTGTGTCAGAGGACCCACGCAGACTCTTGCTATTACTTGTGCTGTCGTGGTTGTCTGGTGTTGTCTCACGGGAAGACAGTAACTTTGGAGCGTCACCTTTGTGGTAGAGTCTTCGCTTTTTCTTCTCCACAGCGTCACACCTTGTGGGTACCTCTCCAAGACTACGAAACTGAAAACACTGTTCAAATACATTCCAACACACTAAATAAGACGTACCGGGGTCAACTGAGCATCGTCGTCTTCGTCTTCAGATTCAACTTCATCATTGTCTTCAATGGCGATGCTGCTGATGTCTACAATACTATTAGCAGTAGTGTCAAGACCAGCTGACTTTGCTTGGAGGAGGGCTTCGGTTGCCGCGAGCCATTTTTGAGCTTCCACAAGCTTTCGCTTGAGCGTTTCATTGTCTTCGTTGTCTACACTTGCATGTTAGACACAAATAGATTATCCTGAGTTGACCTACCAAGAGCTTGTTGCCGCTTAGTTCTTTTTGGCTGGCATTTTGAGCTTACAACATTGCCCTGCGAGATACCATCACTGTTAATACTTTTACTATACGTACTCTTTTTCTTCAGAGCAGGCTCCAAGTTGTCTGAGCCTTGTGACTCGTAGTTATCTTGGTTCTTTTTTTTCTTGTTATTCTTCTGAGCTGATGTGGGCATGTGGAAATTTTGGCGAGAAGCCGAACGTGATGTTCGAGTTGGAAGGAGAGACGGGCAAAAGCGGGACTATTGCAACTCACCAAATATGGACGACTGCTGAGGAGCCGAACTAAGCTCAGCCAGCACCGTACTCTCGACATCATGCCAAAAAGACGTCTACCTCCTATACGGTCTTCTCACCACAATACACAAACATTTTCGATGTGACTTCTGTACTATTACGACAGAGACAGCCAAAGGCTTAAAATCGCATATTAGCCAAAGCAAACCTTGCCAACAGGCATTTGACCGACGCACCGCTGCCCTCTTCCTTTCTCAGACATCCACACCTAATACCAAGCATCTTGCAAATGACTCAGACGCTGTCCTTCCTGTACTTGGCGATGATCTCAGTAATGACAATGGTCAAGAGCTGTCTGCACCCGCACCATCGTTTGGTCAAGAACCAGGTCACTCTGCTACTCCTAACCCACCTCTCCCTATGCCTACTCCTTCGCTACCAGATCCAGGCGAAGCTCCAGCACCTCCATCAAAGTGTGCACGTGCTGTTGCTGATATAGCTGATGATGAGGTCAGAGTCAGTGGGCTGCCGAAGCGTCCGTTTGTGGACTACGGACCTGGGCGTGCCATCAAAACTGAGGGAAAGGGGATAACTATCTTTACAGAGATCTATGCCCGCCACAAAGCAGAACAGAAAGCAAACAAGCAGAAGGAGAATTCCTGGTATCCGTTCAAGGATGCGGAGGAATGGGAACTGGCAAAATGGCTTCTGACGTCTGGTTTGAGCCAGAAGAAAATTGATAAGTTCCTGAAGCTCGAGACTGTAAGTTCAGTAATCTTTCCATGCAGCACATGCTCACCTGAGCCCAGAATTGTCGTCATCAACACTTGTCTTTCCAGAACAAAGCAGGGTTTTTCAAGCTAATTGACAAGCTTCCCCAGAGACCGCAATGGAGGTGTGAGATCTTCACTGCGGATGGAGATGTGGTCGATGAGAGAACGGGAGAGAGGAAGGTGCAAAACTTTGAATTGTGGAAGCGAGATCCTGTGGAGTGTATCAAGGAGCTGATTGGGAACCCCACATTCAAGAAGCACATGCGATACACACCGAAGTCATCTTCGAAGATCATGAAGGCTTGAAGCCTATTATTGACGAGATGTGGACTGCGGAATGGTGGGAGAAGATTCAAGTGAGTACGATACTCCAGTTAACGTGTGCTCTCTTGACTTACCACGTACTCTAGGAGTGTATCCCTGCGGGTAGAGTTGTAGCACTGGTTATACTTGCATCCGATAAGACTCAGCTGTCCGTCTTCAGTGGTGATAAGAATGCCTGGCCTGTGTACCTCAGTATCGGCAATATATCAAAGAAGCTTCGACGCTCACCTTCGTCCCACGCAATGATTCTAATTGGCTACCTTCCTGTGTCAAAGCTCGAATGCTTCTCGAAGAACAACTGTTCTATATCCGGATACCAGCTCTTCCACGACGCCATGCGTTCTCTTTTGCAGCCGCTCATTGAGGTCGGTCTGAACAGAGTCAAGATGACTTGTGCAGATGGCCTCGTTCAGCACATTCATCCCATTCTTGCTGCATACATTGCAGATCATCCCAAGCAGTGCCTTGTAACCTGTGTGAAGGAGAACTTCTGTCCGAAGTGCCACATCGGCCCTGGGGAGCATGGGAGAGGCAGCGTGCAGTTGCGGTGGAGAGACCCAGAAAAGACGGCGCAGATGCTTAAAGAGGCAGTTTCTGGTCAGAAACCTGCGGGCTTTAACGACGCCGGATTGCGGCCTATTTTGCCTTTCTGGTTGGACCTCCCGCACTGCGACATCTTCTCCTGCATCATGCCAGACATTTTGCATCAGCTGCACAAAGGCATGTTCAAGGACCACACTGTGAAATGGGCGATGAACTGTGTAGCGGGAGGCGATGATGAGCTAGATCGTCGGTTTGCAGCCATGCCAATGCACTCAGAGATTCGGCACTTCAAGAAGGGCATCTCGCTCGTGTTCCAGTGGACGGGAACCGAGTACAAGAACATGGAAAAGGTCTTCCTCGGTGTGCTTGCTGGCTCCGTACATGAGGACGTGATGCGCGCCGTCCGTGGACTCTTATACTTTATCCACTACGCCCAGTTTGAAACTCACACAACTACATCTTTAGAGGCTCTCAAAGTGGCATGGCGGCAGTTCCACATATACAAGTACGCGTTCATTACTTACTACAATGCCAAGCAGGCGATGCCGGCGAACTATGCGAATTTCAGCGGCATCCCGAAGCTTCACAGGATGGATCACTACATCCAGTCGATCCGTCTGCTTGGCACCGCAGACAGATACAATACAGAGGGCCCAGAGCGTCTGCACATCG